GGTGTGTCCCCATTGTAGTACTTGGGACCTGACTGATCAAGGAACATAGAGCCTGTTAGCGGGACCCCACCAGGATCAGGTTCTCGGTTCTGGGCTTGTCGGACAGTGGTTGCAATACTCCACATCACGGGTGCCACAATGCGGGAACTGGGGATGATGGGCTCGGAGTCCCTCTCCTCGTTAGAGACATCGTGCTGACGGGACAGGGCGTCTGCCTTCTGATTCTTGGATCCCGGGCGATAGGCTAGTGTGAAGTTGAACCTGTTAAAAAACAGAGCCCACCTAGCCTGGCGAGCGTTCAACCTCTTAGCTTCTTGAATGGAGACCAAGTTCTTATGGTCCATCCAGATCACGAAAGGATGAGGTGCCCCCTCCAACCAGTGTCTCCACTCCTCAAGAGCCCACTTTACTGGCAAGAGCTCCTGGTTGACTACATCGTAGTTGCGTTTCACTGGCGAGAACCGTTTGGAGAGGAATGCGCATGGGTGCAGTTTCTTGTCCTCCTCGTTCCGCTGTGAAAGGACCGCCCCTGCTCCAGTGTCTGAGGCGTCCACCTCTACCACGAAGGGACGAGTAGGATCAGGATTAACGAGGATGGACCCGGAAGTGAAACGTCCCTTGAGCTCCATGAATGCCATGTCAGCCTCGGGGGTCCAGCAAAAACGGGTCTGGGACCTGTGGGTTAGGACCGTGAGAGGCACTGCCACCGCACCAAAATAGCATATAAAATGCCAGTCAAAATTGGCAAACGCCGAGGAACCGCTGGACTTGTTTGAGTGAGGGGAGACGGGGCCAGTCGGTGACTGCCTTAACCTTAACGGGGTCCATTTGGATGCCGGCGGTATAGATAATGTGACCCAGGAAAGAAACTAGGGATACGTGGAACTCACATTTCTCAATCTTGACGTACTCGGGAGGGAGAGATGAGTGGTCATGGTCTTCGAGGGAGCTTAGCAAGGCTCTTGGTGGAGGTCTTAGACACTTGTTTAGGCAGTTCTTGCCCCAGTCTAGTAGGTGTCCCGTGGACCAGGAGAATAGTGGGTCATGGAGCACTAGCCAGGGGTACCCTAGGATCAGAGGATTCTCAGGAGCAGTGATCAAAAGAAAGTTAAGAGTCTCAGAATGGTTCACCCCAACCTGCAGTAGAATGGGCTTGTTCTGATACTCCACCTGGCCGGAGCCGAAGGGACGCCTATCGAGCGCTTGAATCTGCAGAGGGATGGGACATTTCATGTAGGGGATTTGTAATTTACTGATGAAGTCTTGGTCCATGAAATTATCCACGGCCCTAGAGACCACGAAGGCTTGAATGTGGTGCTGACAGTTGTCCCAATGGAGGGTTGCGGGTAGTGACAGACTTTGACTGGGTGACTGGGGAGTAACTGCACAGCTCGTCAGGGTCTCCCCTTGACCTGGTGAGCCCTGGTGTTTCCCGTAAACTCTGGACATGTAGCACGGAGATGGCCAGAGACCTCCGCAACAGAAACAGCAGCAGCCATCGCGCATGCGCCTGTCCCGTTCCAGTGGGCTCAGATGTGTGCGTCCCAACTGCATGGCTTCCTCAATGCTGGTCTCGGGGGGCTAGGGGTGCTCAGGAAACCAGAATACCGGGGTGGTGTCAAAAAGGCACTGTCTCACACGTTCTCAGATGCGGTTGTCAATCCTGATTGCCAGTGTTATCAGTGACTCGAGGTCCTCTCCCAGTTCTCAAGCGGCCAGTTCGTCCTTGATGAGGTTAGACAGACCCTGGTGGAAAGCGGTAACCAGCGCCTCCGTAATCCACCCGCTCTCGGCGGCGAGGGTGCGGAACGTAATGGCGAAGTCAGCCACTGGTATGGCCCCTTTGGCGGAGTCTGAACAGTCAGCTTGCTGCTTCTCGTCCGTCGACTGGGTGGTCGAAGACTTGTCGCAACTTGGCAGTGAAGGCCAATATGGAGCAGCAGGATGGTGGCTGCTGTTCCCACACCGACGTAGCCCATGCCAGGGCCTTGCCCGAGAGTAGAGAGATGATGTAGGCGATCATGGCTCGATCGGTGTGGAACGAGTAGGACTGTAACTCGAACACCAGAGAGCACTGAGTAAGGAACCCCTTGCATCCTCCCAGGTGACCATCGTACCGCTCGGGGGCAGGGATCTTGTGTTCCCGGTGACGGTTCCCTGGAGGAACTAGGGTGACACTTGTTGTACTAAGCGATGAGACTTGGGCATTGGCTCCTCCTGGGTTGGGGTTGGGCCGTGGTAGGAGGGAATTGGTAAGTGCCCTAAGGGTCTCAGATATTTGGGAGAGTTGTCCTTGATGCCATCCCAACAGTGCTCCTTGGTGGGTTATAACATTCTTGATGAGGGTGATCTCTGCTAGGTCCATGTTAGAGGCAGAAGCTTGCTGTGACATGATGAGGTTGGACCCAGGAGCAGAGAACAGACCAAACAAGGAATCAGTGGTAAAAGTAAACGTAAATGCTTTGCTGAGAATAGGTAACAGCAGGATTACAGTAATGCTGAGAAAACAACAAACACTAGGACTAGAAAACTTACTCAGGAGGCAAACACACATGACAAACAAATCAAGCTTCCGCAAAGGAAAACAGAAAACCCACCTCTCTTAAAGGGGAACTCATAATTAGAGAATAGAAAACACCTGAGTGTCATAATAGTCTGTAGGACGGTCTCTGTCGCCCTCTGGTGACAGGTGGAACCATGACAGTGACGCTTGGCAGTCAGGCCAAAGAGTTCAATCTTGGCTTCATTAGACCAGATAATCTTTTTTCTCATGGTCTGAGAGTCCTTTAGGTGCCTTTTGGCAAACTCCAAGCGGGCTGTCATGTGCCTTTTAATGAGGAGTGGCTTCCGGCTGGAGAGATGGTTGTTCTTCTGGAAGGTTCTCCCATCTCCACAGTGGAACTATGGAACTCTGTCAGAGTGACCATAAGGTTCTTGATCACCTCCCTGACCAAGGCCCTTCTCCCCGATTGCTCAGTTTGGCCAGGCAGCCAGCTCTTGGTGGTTCCAAACTTCTTCCATTTAAGAATGATGGAGGCCACTGTGTTCTTGGGGACCTTCAATGTAGCAGAAATGTTTTGGTACCCTTCCCCAGATCTGTGCCTCGACACAATCCTGTCTCAGAGCTCTACGGACAATTCCTTCAACCTCATGGCTTGGTTTTTGCTCTGACATACACTGTCAACTATGGGACCTTATATAGACAGGTGTGTGCCTTTCCAAATCATGTCCACTCAACTGAATTTACCACAGGTGGACTCCAATCAAGTTGTAGAAACATCTCAAAGATGATCAATAGAAACAGGATGCACCTGAGCTCAATTTTGAGTCTCATAGCAAAGAGTCTGAATACCTATTTAAATAAGGTATTTCAGTTTTTTATTTCTAATAAATTTGCAAACATTTCTAAAAACCTGTTTTCGCTTTGTCATTATGGGGTATTTTGATTGAGGAAAAGGTTTTCTTTGATCCATTTTAGAATAAGGCTGTAACGTAACAAAATGTGGAAAATCCCTTCGGTCTCTGCTTTTAGTTTGTTTGCACCCCATGTATGGAACAATCTACAGAGTTCCCAACTGGATGTGGTGCCTCAAGGGGAGTTCAAATTGTTGATTGGGGACCTCTTTGCTGAGGAATGTGATTGTTTTTCTTGAGTGTGTTTGTAATTTTGTATAGGCCTATTTGTATTATGTTGTATTTTGTAAATTGTGTATATGCTGGGCTCCCTTGGAAAATAGACCTTGGTCTCAATGGAACTCCCTCTTAACCTTTTACTGCTGTGGGCTAAATCAGGGTCACACAGAGTCTTTCTTGGTAGTCTTAAACAAATCTACTGTACTTTGAAACAAAAGTATACACCTCACACACGGTTATGGTCTTAAAAACTCAAAATGTAATACATTTTGAGTTTGCATCCAAATATTATACTTCATATACATCACAGAAGACTGAAATATAACAAAACTGTTTGACATAGAAACACCGGATTTTTATGAAAAATAATAATATTCCACCCATGAGGCCACTAGAGGGCGATTTGGTAATTTGACTGCAGGAAAGGGCTACAATAAAGGTAAAATAAAAATAGAGCTTACCAAGAAGGGCACAAGACACAAAAACGACAGGCAATATGTGTAGCCCTCTTTGATACCCTTATTAGGGTTTAAAGAATTTCTATGACACAGCTACCCGAAAACAGCAATGAATGGTCCGAACAATTCCGTGACCGCCTGTCAGAGTGCGTTAATGATTTCCTCCCGACTCTGTCAAGCGTGAGGGAAATTAAAGAGAGAACTGCCATGTCTAATTTGTAATTTCTTGCTGGACCCTCTCACCTAAAGCTGAGGAAGATGATTGAAAACACATAGGAGATTCAGGTTAGGCCATGCTTCATTTATTTTATTTTCATAATGCCACATTACTTAGTTACTAAAGCGGTAGAGAGCCATTATATTCACCCCCCCCCCCCCCCCCCCATCTGAAAAACCTGCACAAAGGTTTGGCATAAATCATGCATTGAATCAATGCTTGATTTGTGCAAAAGTTCGAAGTTGCACCTGCATCTTGCATTTTAGAATTCGGCCCCCCATGAGCAACAATTGTGTATCCCTTGTCTAACTGGAGTCTAAACGTGTTATGTCCCTATTCAGTCCATTACTGATTCAGCATGAACCGCAACTGAAAATCCCTGCATATTTCAGTACCATAGACAGCACCATTCTCAAGCTTAGACGGCCAATGCAAAGGGGTAGCGTATTTATAAATGCATATTCCAAAGGGTGTCTCCAAAGCTGATTTGAAGAAATGTCTCAGAAGGTTGACCTTGTTACATGAAAAGTGCTCCCAAGTTACAAAAAAACTAAACTTGTAAAAAACACATCTAAAAAACTGCTTTAAGTGCATTAGCTATCTTTTTAGAAAGGGGACCCTGGAACCCTGTTACCACAGTGTGTGGTAGGTAATGACAGATAGGGGTCAAGTCTGTGTAGCCAATGACATCACAGGTTGCTGGAGTCATCCAGTGGGTTGGCGATGACCGAGTTGTGGATGAGGACGAAGAGGGGCAGGTACGCCAGGAAGTCCAGCAGGTCCAGGGAGCTGATGTGTCGGAGCTCCTGTTTGATGGCTTCCTCTTGTTCTGGTCGGATGCCCCCGGCCTTTAGCTCCACCAGGAGCTGCTCTGCACTGATACAGCCCTGCTGGGCCACAGTGCCCCCTGTCTGCCCCTCCAGCAGGAACAGGAACAGCTGCTGTAGAGAGACAAACAACATGTCAAAACAGGTGGAAAAAAGAGAGGCCTTTTCAATATGCAACGGTGTGGACTTGGTTTAGTCAAGGCAGAGGTGTGTGTGTGTCTCGTGTATGTGTGTGTCGGTCGGTGTGTGCCTCTCCTAGTGTCTCATGTTACATCGGCCTGTTTCTAGTTTTGTATGAGTGCACCTGTTTTCACAGTTAAATGCATTCTAGATAATAATTGGGGGGAGGGGGTATAATCCTCTGGCAATTAGCCCATTTCTACCCTCCAGCTCCTGCAGCCCAGTTAACAACCCTATCCCTACTACCAGCTCTATAATTACAAAGCCTTCCTCCACCTAGACCAGAATCAGTTTCCATACCCATGGCCACATGCTTTCATGTTCCCTATGTGCCTTTCAACGGCCTCGTCGGCCTGCCCTCCCCATTTGAATGCGACGGGCTGCCTTGCCTCTTGTGAATGGCCATCCTATAGCCCTGGTCCATCTGAGATGAGTAGTAGTGTGTCTCAGGACTGATTAAAGGGAGGGAGGGGCGGAGCGGCGCGGGAGGTACACCGCTGGGCACTTTAATGAGATTAAGGCCCCGTAATCCATGAAAGCGAAAAGGAACTCTCTCTCTCTCTCTCTCCTCTCTCAGTCCTCGCTAGGGAGGGCGATACTCTCTCCCTCGTCTCCATCTCCGTCTATCGAGATCTCACTCTCCTCTTCTCTCTCGTCTCTCTCTCTCTCTCATCTCTACTTTCTCTATCTGCTCTCTTCTCGCTATTAACTCTTCTTCTGCTATCCTCTTGTCTCTCTCTCATCGCTCTCCTTTCTCTCTCTCTCTCTCTCTCTCTATAGATGCACTTGGTTGTTCTGGAAAAAGCTAGTTTTACTAAGCTTTCATTTGAAATGCCCTTCAAAGTGTTTACCAAGTCTTTATTTCACTGTAATTACCCTCCCGGGGCCATGAAAGAGGGAGAGGTACCGCAGGTTGGAAAAGATCTTGTGATGTAAGCATGAAAATACCTTCATGAGAGTGATTATGGTAAATGTTAAACTATACTGTACATGGTAAAGATGGCCTTTACAGTTAGGGAGTAAGCAAACATTAATGCCTTCAGAAAGTGGGATTAAAATGGATTTAATTGACATTTGTTTGGTCAGCAATCTATACAAAATACTCAGTAATGTCAAAGTAGAAGAACAATTCTAACATTTGAAAAATAAAACATGTAATATATCTTGATTAGATAAATATTCAACCCCCTGAGTGAATAAATGTTAGAAATCACTTTTAGCAGCGATTACAGCTGTGAGTTTTTCTGGGTAAGTCTCTAAGAGCTTTCCACACCTGGATTGTGCAACATTTGCCCATTATTCTTTTCAAAATTCTTCACGCTCTGTCAAAATTGGTTGTTGATCATTGCTAGTCAACCATTTTCAGGCCTTGCCATAGATTTTCAAGCAGATTTAAGTCAAAACTGTAACTCGGCCACTCAGGAACATTCAATGGTGTCTTGGTAAGCAACTCAAGTGTAGATTTGGCCTTGGGTTTTAGGTCATGGTTTCCCAAACTCGGTCCTGGCCTAGCACTACACAACTGATTCAAATAACCAACTCATCATCAAGCTTTGATTATTTTGAATCAGCTGTGTAGTGCTAGTGTAAAAAACCAAAATGTGCACCCAGGGGTGGCCCCAGGACCGAGTTTGGGAAACCATGTTTTAGGTTATTGTCCTGCTGAAAGGTGAATGAATCTCCCAGTGTCTGGTGGAAAGCAGACTGAAACAGGTTTTCCTCTAGGATTTTGCCTGTGCTTAGCTCCATTCTGTTTTTGTTTTTATCCTGAAAAACTCCCCAGTCCATAACAATTACAAGAATAACCATAACACAATGCAGCCACCACTATGCTTGAAAATATGGTGTGTGGTACTCAGTAATGTACTGTATTGGATTTGCCCCAACCATAACACTTTGTATTCAGGACAAAAAGTTAATTGATTTGCCACATCTTTTGCAGTATTACTTTAGTGCCTTGTTGCAAACAGCATGCATGTTTTGTAATATTTTTATTCTGTACAAGCTAGCTTCTTTTCACTCTGTCATTTATGTTAGTATTGTGGAGCAACTACAATGTTGTTGATCCATCCTCAGTTTTCTCCTATCACAGCCATTAAACTCTGAACTGTTTTAAAGTCACCATTGACCATCATGGTGAAATCCCTGAGCGGTTTCCTTCCTCTCCGGCAACTGAGTTAGGAAGGATGCCTGTATCTTTGTAGCGACTAGGTGTATTGATAAACCATCCAAAGTGTAATTAATAACTTCACCATGCTCAAAGAGATATTCAAGGTATTTTAATTTTTTTTACCCATCTACTAATAGGTGCCCTTCTTTGTGAGGCATTGGAGAACCTCCCTGGTCTTTGTGGTTGAATCTGTGTTTGAAATTCACTGCTCGACTGAGGGACCTTACAGAGATGTTAAACATTATTATTGCAGTCCCTGCAACTTATTATGTGACTTGTTAAGCACGTTTTTACTCCTGAACTTATTTAGGCTTGCCATAACAAAGGGGTTGAATACTTACTGACTCAAGACATTTCAGCTTTTCATTTTTTATTACTTTTTACAAATTTCGAAAAACATAATTCCACTTTGACATTATGGGGTATTGTGTGTAGGCTAGTGACAGAAAATCTCAATTTAATCTATATATTTTAAATTCAGGTTGTAACACAACAAAATGTGGAAAAGGTCAAGGGGTGTGAATACTTTCTGAAGGCACTATAGACCATCGTCAATACTGAAGATGGTGATTCAACAGGCATGAGATAATACAAACCAAATGTTGTCATTACCTTTGCTTTGTATAGCTTTAACGCCAAAGAACGGAAGTCCATTTTGCTTATCAGGGAACGCATAAATACACTGTAAAAAAAAGAGAGAACACCAGACAGTGTCATTCAGGAGACAACCATGACACTGCAACTCTAAAACCTTTTGGTCCCTCAGAACTTAAAAACCCCTCTCCTTTTGAAACATCCTCTTTGTCAAATAAATGTAATATGCACACGTATGGTCAAAATGAATCCCACTCCACCTCTTTGTGGATATCTCTACAGTGTCACTATAATGTTAGGGTAAAGGGGAGAAAGACAGAGTAAAGAGAAAAACAGGAGAGGTAGCCCAGTTGGGGAGGTCTGGGTCCCTGTGGCGGGTGTTTTTTGGCGGGGCTCTCCCATGTGACGCTATGTTTGGGGAGACGTGATGGTAAAGTGTTCTGAGCCCATTGTGGTTGCTCACAGTGGCCTGTCCCCCAAACAATGACCATGGATATGGGGACATCCCGCCATAGCTAACGGATAAAACTGCTCTGGATGGAGACAGTGAGTGGGGTGGTGAGGGTGGTGGGCGAGGGGTAGTGGGGGGGGGGGGTTAGTGGAGGTAGATTAGAGGAAGAGGAGGGGGAGACCGGGATCAGGGCACGCTGTGGTGCAATGTGACCACTCGCTGACCGACACAATCTAGTCCCCGTTCAGATAATTAGACAGAGACACAGACGATTGTGTTGGGACAGACCTCTCCTGTCCAGCGTGTGGCACAGCGACGGCCGTCCCCCGGTCTCTAACGAGCCCCCCGTGCTAATGAGCCCTCGTCCCTCCCCGCCCCGGCTCACGCGCTGAATGGCCTGTTAGGGGGAAAGAATGGAATCAGCACTCTACCACCGAGTTGAGTGCACGCCTGAGTGCCCCAAGCGCTGTGATTGGCCCACTTCCCCAACCGGGGCCAAGACGGGAGGGGCTTGATGGGAACGAGGGGAGACAGGGCAGCTAATGATCATTAATTGCACTTGGTTTGCAGTAAAAGAGCCCAAACGACGGTGCAGGGAAGAACAGTCGTGATAATGGCCGCCCCCAAACATGGGTCCGGGAAGGACCAGTGAGGAGGATAATAGCAGCCTAACCCACTTCTTTTGTTGGCCCTCCTAAGGCACCCTGCTGTGGACGACCCAGCAGACTTCGTACTTACGTAATGCCCAACATTTTGGCGGTCACTCCTCCATTGGGGGGGGGCAGGGGTTGGGGGTCAGTGTTGGGACGCAAACGCATGCTGACCCAATTTAAATCGAGTGACAGGGAGAAATTGAGACTTGTTTTTGGAGGAGGGGGATGTGAGCAGGTCACAGTTGTTCTGAATGCAGTGTGAAGGAAGGAGAGAATGAATAAAAGCAGTTCTGAGGGAGAAGAAGAGGGGAATGCATTTGGAGGGACTCAGAAGTGAGAAGAAAGAGGGTGAGAGGTACACTGCATTGTGGGTCAGTCTATTTAAAAGTGAGCGGTTCGACCGTCTAGGGTCTCAGGTTTCCCCGCTCATTGCTGAATGAACACCTCCTCCCTCTCAGTTCTCTGAGTCACTCTAGTGAATTGGCAGGAACATGGGGAATTACTGTTCCACCATCATGTGGCTTTTGCTAGATTCATAAAAAAGAATGTACTAGTAACACTACAATCACTTCACACAAAACCCCCACACACAGAGGTCAGCGTGAGGGAAGACTACTAGTAGTGAAAGTCTACTACAGATCTTCCAGGTTCGGGGGGCTTCAGTGGTGGCATGAGGTTCCACTGGTGTCCTGTAAGGGAATGCAACCCTGGATCTGGTGGGCTACTGCTGTATGGAAATGTCTCTCTCAGGTCATGTGACCTGCCCTGGGGGAATAGCGATGTACAAGGCGGGCTGAGAAGCACAGTGTTATACAGGGACAGATGGACTCAGGGGGCAACACGCCAGAGCAGAGAGAGAGAGACATTGAGAGAGAGAGAGAGAGAGAGAGAAAGAAAGAGACATTGAGAGAGAGAGAGAGAGAGAGAGAGAGAGAGAGAGAGAGAGAGAGAGAGAGAGAGAGAGAGAGAGAGAGAGAGAGAGAGAGAGACTGAGGCACAGAGGGGAGAACTAGATTGAATAGTGGAGTGAAATTGCGAAGGATAGAAAATGCGGGGGAAGGGGAAAATAAGGGCATGGGATATCATTATTTGGGATACTCATGCTGGTCAATCCTCAAAGGCAGCCAGAGAGTAGCATTGTTGGGCTACTGTTCCAGATTAGTTTTATGCTAGGACTAAAGTCAACAGGATTAGAGCAGGTAACAGGATCAATTTAGTTCAGCTAGGACCAGATGAGAGACTGACGCTATTGTTTTTTAGGGAAGGGTATTAAGATGACTAATCTTTGTCTTGAAGCTTGTACTTACATCTAAGGACCTACAGATGAAAATATCTCTGGAACTATTACACGCTGGTATTATCTGAGATGTTAATGATTGGGCGTGGTCCCTGTTAGATATATTCAGGAGCCATTTACAAGTTCTCTGAAAAGAGTTCCATTTCCATTCATTGGGCGTTAAAATTAATCATCACGATCATAATTACTTCTTTCCAGACTAAACACCCCAGTCAGTCCCTCTCCATTTCTGGAGAAGTCAGTCAGTCTATAGGCATAGATGTGGCTGAGTAGGAGCCTCTTCTCCTCTTCACGGGGCCGCACAAAAGGCCAGCCGTAAATCAGGGGACCCATGACCCTGGCCGCGTCCACCCTGAGAGGGAGCTCTCACACTGGGCTGTGTCTCCCAGAGCAGCCCCTGACCCCTGGAGACCCCTGGAGCTTCAGGCAGGCCCTGCTCACAGTACTCAGTACTCAGCCATAAACCACAGCCAGGGAGAAACGTGCAGTGTGTGGGAATCTGTGGCAACTATTTTGCACTATGGCCTATTTATTGCCTTACCTCCATAACTTACTACATTCGCACACACTGTATATATATTTTCTGTTTGTATTTTTGACTTTATGTTTTGTTTACCCCATATGTAACTCTGTGTTGTTGTTTTTATCGCACTGCTTTGCTTTATCTTGGTCAGGTCGCAGTTGTAAATGAGAACTTGTTCTCAACTGGCTTACCTGGTTAAATAAAGGTGAAATAAATAAAAATAAAAATATGGGACAAAATGTAGTGACAGAGGCCCCAAACTCTAATCAGTGTGATGGGGTTCTGTATTGGGATCATGACCGCCCAGGTCGGCTTTAATGGCCTAACTAGGTGTGTTGTAGTCTTAATATATTCACAGGCATACACAAGCACACTCAAAACAGTACACACACAGAGGCATACACAGTGGACAGACATAGTGATGCATACACAGTGGATATACATACTGATGCATACACACACACACTATTATTCTTATTTATGGTCGGGGGGTCAGTGATACTTCATTGTGAAAAGGGAGTTGGATTAGTGACTTGGACTACTCACTCCATTGTGGCTATTTTCTGCGCCAGGCTTGCAATCACAGCAAAGAGCCTTAGGTCTGTAAGTCCATCTGTCACCCTGAAGTCCACCATCTCCAGGATCTGAGAGAAAAACCATCATGGTCAAAGTGATACAGAAGGTGTATGTCTGTGTGTGTGTGTTGTATTTACCCTGTAGACATATATCTCTTCTTCATCAGAGAGCAGCTCTGGAGGGATGATCTTCTTTAGTGCCAGCAGCACTTGCAGGCAGGAGATGTAACCATCAGCATCGCTGTCCACCTGAAGGGATCATCATCATCGTCATCATCAACATTATCATCACAATGAACAACAACAACATCATCATGTAAGCAAAGTTAGAATCACGAGATACAGGAAGAGTGAAAAGGAGAGAGAGAGTAAGAACTAGAGAAAGAGAGAGACAGGAAGAGTGAAAAGGAGAGAGAGAGAGTAAGAACTAGAGAAAGAGAGAGACAGGAAGAGTGAAAAGGAGAGAGAGAGTAAGAACTAGAGAAAGAGAGAGACAGAAAACCAGGAAGAAAGAGGGAGTGTATCTGAGGCATAGTGTGAACAGAGAGGGTTTAAATCCCCTTTCACTTACCGCTTCAAAAGCCCTTTTGTATTCTGCCAGCTTCTCCTGGCTGAAAATGCAATACTTTGCCAAGAAGTCGACTGCCAGAAAGAAAGGAAGAGGAGAAGAGAGTAAATCCAAACCTCTGTGTTAACAGGCTCTCTAGTGGGAAGAGAAGCCACACTGCCCTCTGCTATAGTGTTCAATTCAAATCAACTGCTTACAAATCCTCACACATCACCACGCATCACCAAACTGAAATATAAACGGAATATTATCTCAAACTGTGTTTATATCTTATTTCATACCGATCACAATAAATCTGTGAGCATTTTGAACGATTTCTAATAATATCTAGATATACAGTATGCCAGGCTTCAGGTGTGTGCATGTGTCTGTGTGTGTGTGTGTGTGTGTGTGTGTGTGTGTGTGTGTGTGTGTGTGTGTGTGTATGTGTGTGTGTATGTGTGTATGAGAGAGTCTGGTCTTTATCAATGTGAGGCGGCAGCCCTGGTGGTGGGGGGGGGGGGGGGGGTCCCCAGCCGGGCAGGCAGCACACTCAGGGGCCTCGTGTGGCACTTGGCAGCTACGTCTTTGTGTGTGTAGAGAGAGAGACAGGTTTTTACGGACCTGGGATAGGCTGAGGTCAATGTATTGATTGACTAAGAGAAAAAGGCATAATAACTCACTTTAGGGGAAAAACGTAATACAAGTACAAGGGTTTGAGCACGTAGTACACATTTAGGAAATTATATATACGAATGTTGAGGATGCCACAACTCTACAGTGGTCAACATTTCAGATAGCAAATTAAGGGACTACAGCTCGTTTACTATGATAGCTAATCCACGTCAATTTCAGAAAGCAAATCTGGGGGAGAAGAAGAGAAAGAAGCAAGAAAGGAGAAAGGGGAGAGAAGGGGAGAGAGAGAGAAGGATGGAGAGAGAAGGAGAGGACGAAGGAGAGAGAAGGGGAGAGAAGGGGGCGAGAGAGAAGGGGAGAGAGAAGGAGGAGAGAAAGGGGAGAGAAGGGAGAGAGAAGGAGAGAGAAGGAGAGAGAAGGAGAGAGAAGAGAGAAGGAGGACAGAAGGAGAGAGAAGGAGAGAGAAGGAGAGAGAAGGAGAGAGAAGGGAACAGAAGGGAAGAGAAGGGGAGAGAGAGGTGAGAAGGGGAGAGGAAGCGAGAGAGAACGGAGAGGGAGAAGGAGAGAGAAGGAGAGAGAAGGAGAGAGAAGGGAGAGAGAAGGGGACAGAAGGGGAGAGAAGGGGAGAGAAGGGGGAGGGAGGATGAGAGAGAAGGAGGGGGGGGGGAGGAGAAGGAGAGAGAAGGAGGAGAGAAAGGGGGACAGAACGGGGAGAGGAGAGAGAGAGGAGAGAGAAGGAGAGAGAAGGAGATGATAAGGAGAGAGAAGAGAGAGAATGAGAGAGAAGGGGACAGAAGGGAGAGAAGGGGAAGAAGGAAGAGGAGAGAAGGAGGAAGAGAAGGAGGAGAGAAGGGGAGAAGGAGAGAGACGAGGAGGAGAAGGAGAAGGGAAGGGAGAAGGGGGGGAGAGAGAGAGGGAGGAGAGAGGGAGAAGAAGGAGAGAGAAGGGGAGAGAAGGGAAAGAAGGGGGAAGGGAGAGAAGGGGAGAGCGAGGGGAAGAGAAGGAAAGAGAAGGGAAGAGAAGGAGAGAGAAGGGGAAGAAGGGAAGAGAAGAGAAGGAGAGGGAGAGAAGGGAGAGAAGAGAAGGGAGAGCAGGAAAGGAGAAAAGGAAGGAAGAGGGAAGAGGGAGAGAAGAGGGAGAAGAAGGGGAGAGAAGGGGAGAGAAGGAGAGAGAAGGAGGAGAGAAGGAGAGAGAAGGGGACAGAAGGGAAGAGAAAGGGAGAGGAGGGGAGAGAAGGGAAGAGAAGGAAGAGAAGAGGAGAGGAGAAGGGAAGGAAGGGAAGAGAGGAGAGAGGGGAAAGAGAAGGGGAGGGGAAGAGAAGGAAGGGGAGAGAAGGGAAGAGAAGGGAAGAGAGAGGGAAGAGAAGGGGAGAGAAGGGAAGAGAAGGGAAGAGAAGGGAAGAGAAGGGAAGAGAAGGAAGAGAAGGGAAGAGAAGGAGAGAAGGGGAGAGAAGGGGAAGAGAAGGGAAGAGAAGGGAAGAGAAGGGAGAGAAGGGAGAGAAGGGAGAGAAGGGAAGAGAAGGGAAGAGAAGGGGAGAGAAGGAAGAGAAGGGAAGAGAAGGGAGAGAAGGGGAGAGAAGGGAGAGAAGGGGAGAGAAGGGAAGAGCTCTTTAAGCTGCTTCCACTTCAATTCAGTAGAGATGAGAAAGAGTCCACTGAATAATGGATCTATTCATTGGGTAGCAGAAGAATGTAACAGAAACAGAGTTTGTATCAGTCTGGACTTAAACCCCTGGACCTCTGAGCTGCTCCCCGGTTGCAGGGGGCCGTTTCAATCTGCCATTTATCTGCTTAGGCCTAATCAAAACCAGGCCTTCTGCAGCCTCAGCCTTTCACATGCAAAGCGTTACATTCGCATCCAGTCAACTTGACTTGTTAAAGCTTGATTGATCAAAACCTACGGCGCGGCTGTGTACATCTGTTTGCAAATGTCTGTGACGAGAAGGGGCTTTCGCTGAGACCCACGAGTCACACGATCGGTCCCCTGAGCAGCGTCTGGGCTGGGTATTAGCTAGCCCCCAGACCCCAATCTAACACTCTTCAATAGACACACACCCCACTGCCTGGATCAGTGCACTGATCAATCCAATGAAGTGAATTGACAGCTTGTGTGACAGAGTAAATGGATCCCCCGTCCCCTCTCTTTAGAGTGGGGCAGGCTGAAGCAGGTCCCATCAGTCCTGTCCCTGGTAGGTAGTGATCCAGTCCCCCTAATGGTGACTCTCTCTCTTGTTCTATCCTAGGCCTGCTTCTCTTTCCTGGGCCTCTGCCTTGCATCTCTCAGGCCTGATGTGTGCCCACAGGCACTCATTTTTACACACGTGCGCACGCATGCACACACACACACACACACACTGCAGTCCGTGCTGGAGGGAGATCAGGGGTTCTGCGACCGAGGGGGCCACTCCGTCGGGAAATCAGCCGGACAAAAGGTGCAGTGGAGTGAGAGATTGAGGGAGGAAGCGAAGGCGGGTGGAGGAGCAGGACAAAGCCCAGGCACTAAAACCTCCTGCCTGATAGCCTTATCTGATTCCACTCCAGCGCATGATGGCTTTTTTTTTTTCAGATGGCCTTTAAAGCACACAGGTTGTGCCTTTGGTGTGAAGCCTAGCAGAAAATGTTAATCAAGAGAAGGACTGTGGCACAGAAAGGGGAGAGTCACTCTGCTAAAGCTGTAATCTGTAATGAGAGTGAGGCGATTCAGTAGCGATTGAGGGAGGAACAATGGGGCCGTGATGATGATGAGCAAGGAGGTTCACTCTTTTACGACCGTTTGTTTTGCAGCTTTTTCTTCTGTTTCTTCAGTCACCACACACATTCAATGACGTCCACCGGTCCGCAGACGGCGAAAAGCCACGAGTCACATCTCATTTAACACACACTTGGACATCACTGTCAATGTCTCCAGCTGACAGATGACAAACAGCCTGATTGCTGATCTGACACTGTGCAGGCATTCATGAACAAATGATTTATATTTTCTCACAGAGTCACAATCTGAACAAAACAAACAACATCATTCAAAGTGAGAAAGTAGTTTGCATATAACCGTTATTTCTTTTTAGCGAAATCTAGGTTAAATCTGAATAGCTGAATGACTGCAACAACAAACTCTCTCAATACCATACATTATAGTCAGGAAGTCTGTAAACAGTGTTGGGACTGTGGAGCAATGGAGCAACACAGAGGTTCTATTGTGTTATTTCATGTGTTGCCCTCTGGTTTGTTTCTCTTCCTCTCTTTCCCACTTAATCCCAGACCTTTGTTTCTGCTCATCGTCACATGTATAAAGTGTCCATAATTCCCCTAACAAAGGTCACATTCAGTGCTAGAGGAGAAATGACCCCGTTTCTCCAGTGGGAGAATGTCAGAGCTCAACCTAACCCATATAGTGTCTGATTAAAAACCTGTATTTAGAGTAATTACATTCATATAATGAGCATGGATGTTCCATGGCGTTGGCTAGACTCAAACGTTATCCACTGTGACTGTAACACAACAGACAGACTATATGGGAGCATTTGGGGATATGTTGGGTTTAAGCTCTTTAAGTGCTATGATCTTTTAATTCTGTAGCGTCAAAACATGATATAATGAGTGATAGTCCTACAATCTTAAAATAAACCAAAGCTTCAGTATAGTTTGAGTAGTTTGGCATGTTGTATGATGATAATAAAATCATCCAGTCACTGACATTAATTAAACTAAACTGGTCTTTCCTTGTCAAGATTATTTCCTGATATGATTCTAGAGTATATTTCAGTGTATTAATTACACAATGGAGCAACCAATGAGGTTTATAAGAAGACTACATTTTACAGTAATAGCATTATACAAGCAGGAAGTTGAGAGCTTCAGTAGGCCAGTAGGAGGTGCAGGAGGAGATGCAGTAATCAGTCCTTTAATTCCTGAGCTCCATTCAATGTTGAAACTCAATCACAGAGAGTCTGTACCTAAGACAATGTCCACATGCACACACAACTGTTAGCTGAAGACATTACTTAAACATATTGTACATTTCCTCTAGTCTTGTGACAGCAGTAGCTAAGGTTTCATGGCCAGACTAGCCAATTCATCAATGACGATTCCATGATGTTATCATTTTACAGGAAAGCAACTTAGAACCATATTTACAGGATAGTTCAGAAACATTTTGTGATTCTTTAATAATGCGACCAAACATTATTCAACATCTCTTTTGGGTCAGAGGAGAATTTGGCAATGTGCTCCAGTCCCTTCGAGTGTGGTGGACTCAGGAGGGGGGCAGAATTTGGCAACAGGCCTCATTATCGCTCCATGGACCCCTGGCTCCACCCCTTCACTTTCCCCAAAAGGAGGAGGGGAAAAACTCTGCGTCAGGAAAACAAACAAAGACACACGCAGCGGCCACACTCCCGACTCTGGCAGCACGCCACCCACCTCACCACAAACCACGGCGCGCACACACACACACACACAAACAAACATACACACGCCTACGTCCAATCGCCCAGCGCCGCTACACACACACATACACGCACGCACACAGATCCAAAAAGATAAGTCCTCAAAGCCTCTAATCATCTGCTATAACTGATCTGTACTGATAACCTGACAAAGCCAAATCATGTGTTATTACTACCCAGGCTCTCCTTGACATTGTACCATTAATAAGGCCATTGTGGAGGGCCCTCTCTGTTTAGACACAATATAATAGAGTCTTTGACAGATTCTCTTTGCCGCTCTCTGCCTCTCTCCTTCTCTGCGCTCTTTGAAAACAGCGAGCGTGCATATTCCACGCTGCTGCTCATCAATAGGCTGGCTGTTTGTTTGTCCAGTCATTTGGCGCTAATGGTAAATACACAGAGGTATTCTAGACCAAAGGCTGAGCAAACAGCCGTTACATAAAGGCACTGTACCCTAGCGCACATGCACACACACACACCAACACACACACACACAGATACACACACACATACACACACAGGCGCATGCGTGCAGACACACTCACACCCACACACACACTATTCTAAGTGATTGGTCTCCCTTGCTCATTCATTCAGAAGCTATTCATTGCGGTGAAAACAACCGAGCAAACACGAGTGCAGCGGATTCCCCATCTACCTCAATAGAGCGTTAATACACGGGAGGCTGAGTGGCGTCCAGGGGGCGGGGCTGAGGCGGAGCAGTCACGGGGCCGCCAGGTGTTCCCCATCAACACTGACATTCATCAGAGACCCTGGCAGAGTGAGTCACTGACGCCAGCAGCACAGGTACAGCTACTGAGAACCACTCCATGGGACAACAGCACACAATGGAGCTCAGAACGGACACCAGTCTCCCTGAATGCACTTACAGTCATCCCTCTTGCATATGTATCCAAAACAATCATGCACTCAGTCAACACAGGCATTGTATGTTCCTAGCCTACTAGGAAAACACTGAGGTTCAGACCTGACCCCGCTCTTATCTGTATGAAAACAATCATCACTCTGCTATTGCTTATACTTCCTGTATACAATCTATAGTCTGTCTACTACTGTGATAACACAGTCATGTACTCTTTCCTGTGTACAATCTACAGTCTCTCTACTACTGTGCTAGCCCAGTCATGTACTTCTGATAGGAAACAGGGAGTATGGCACAAACAGAGGCACTAGAGAAAGTAAATGTCTACAGGCAGGAAGGATGGCTGGATGGAAGGATGGCTGGATGGAAGGATGGATGGATGGAAGGATGGATGGATGAGTGGGGAAGTAAAGGAAGAAAGTGGGAGAAAAGTGCATAGAGGAGGAGAGGAAGAAAGGAACGAGGGAGAGTAGAGAGGCGTCTCTATTTTAGGAGTGCGTTGGCCAGTGGTCAGTGCCAGGCGAAGAGGGTGCCAATTAAGGCCAATTAGTGCCTTTCAGCCCTAATGAGGGGACATGTTTACAAGTGTCTGAGCGAGGGGCTGCAGCACACACACACACACACGTACTGACACTCATTATCGCACAAAGCCACAAAGACAAACAGAAAATAACACCAGCAGACATAAACATGATGTGTGAAGACAACTGCTAAAAATATAAAAAGAGCTGAGAACTGAGATATAGTTGTAGCCAATACACACTTATGAAAGAGAAACAGTTCACTCTCCCCTCCCCCCACCACACACACATCAATTGGTAATAACCTTTCTTTTGTTGTGTGGAAGGACAGCTGCAGGGATCTTCCTCTTTGTTCATTACTGGCTGAACAAACCTGTCCAATCAGACAAGTGGTTGTGCACACAGGAGAAACCCTGACCCTTTGACCATTCTTAACCTTGACCTGAGGTGTACAGGCTCATTGTGGGACTTGCCAGGCCCGGCACAGTGACAATGGGTGGCATGACAGAAATTAGACACTTGGGAGAAACTGAAGAATTTCAGGGTAAACTCCTGTTTACTATGGAGGACTAAAAGTGCCACAATTAAATAAATAAATACACCATTAAATAATTACTTAAATGTGTCATTAATTAATTCAAATTAGAATTAAATACATAAATGTGTAATTAAATGTATCATTAATTAATTCAAATACCGATTCATTTTATGTAAAATACATATATAATTATTTCACTATTTACATTTACATTTCATGATCCTGCATTGCAGTGATTCATGAATTACTTAAAACTGTCAAACTGACCCATCAAAGTCAGTGGGCGGGGCTAACGCGAATCTAGTCTGATCCATTGCTTTGGTCTGAAGTAGAGTAGGCCAACCTGGATAGAGACAATGGAGGATCTCCGTGAACTTTCCAGGGAGTTGGTTAGAGACATTTTAAACTTAGCAGAGGATGTAGAAGCAGGACCTGCTGACATTATCCGGAATTGATTTGTCTTGGCTTGATGCAGAGGGTAACCAATCAGGCGTTAGGTTCCGCCTACCAACTTTTGATGGGTCAGTTTGACAGTTTTAAGTAATTCAGGAAGCACTCCAACGCAGGACCATGAAATGTAAATGTAAATAGTGAAATTATTATATATGTATTTTACATAAAATGAATCGGTATTTGAATTAATTAATGATACATTTAATTACACATTTATGTATTTAATTCTAATTTGAATTAATTAATGACACATTTAAGTAATTATTTAATGGTGTATTTATTTATTTAATTGTGGCACTTTTAGTCCTCCATAGTTTACAAAGCAGCTAATTGAAATGGTGAAATCAAGTGCTGTGCTCTGGACTAAAGGAAAATTGTGTGGGGGAGAATAATTATTTTAAAAAGTCGAGAGGCCGCAGTGTTGAGCGTAAATGTGTTTGTGTTTTGCTAAAATGCTCCCTTATGGTAAGAGGCAGTGGGCAGATCAGTGTGTGTCGGTAAGCAGTGTTGGGTTTTAAATGTGTGAGGGAGGATGGATACACTGATACACTCACAGTCCTCAAACTTGGAGCGGCCCCTGTTGCGGCTGGGCTGAAGGGGTCCGCTGTCCTGGAGTTTGGAGTAGATGTTCAGCACCTTCATCTTTCTCTCCTTCTCCCTCATCCTGCGCTCCAGCCTCCCGGGCCTTCTCCTGCCCCCGGTGGAAGCCCAGCCTCGCTCCCCCTGATCAGGGCAACCAGGCTCCTCCTTCACTGGACCCCCCTGGTCTGGGCTGGGGCCTGGATGGGGACACATAGAGATGCACATTTTCATAGGACCACATTGAGATGGAGAGTAATCTCATGGCATTGGGCAGATTTCAAAGCCCATCTGAGTCTGAGAGGTCCTCATATTGCAGTCATATCCCCATAAGCAGATATATTAGAACTAACACTATTTATGGTTATGGTATGGTACCTTCTTGTTTCTGGTGCTCATTCACTGATTATTGTATTTTCATGATGCTGACCCACTTGGTTTGATATTACTGTTGTGTGTCTAGTAGAGTTCCACCAAAGCACTTTGAAAGTCAACATGCTAGGTGTTCTGCATTTGTGTACATCTATCTTGCTACTTAAGAAAGCTCACTTTGCAACCACTTCTCCTTTTTTTCCCTCACAAACACACATGTTCATCTCTTTGTCCTCCCTAAACATCCCAGTCACATCACATCTCCACTCCTCTGATCTTTTCACATCCTAACTGAAAGAGGGACACCCTTCGGAAACGTAACCACTCAGTCGATTTGGCACTGGCCCCCAATTAGGAGTCCCATTATCTGCCAATGAAAAGTCAGAATAATGCACTTCCTGGCCTGGAGGCGCAGGGACAAAGAGTGCCATCAATGAAGACTCAAACTACATTGAGGCTTGGATTGCGAATACAATTTCCTTATTTTTTTTACACTCTAGTAGTCATTCTTTACCATGAGCGTTACCTGTGTTACCACATAAGACATGAATCAAATGAGTTTCAAGCATTTTAGCGTTAGGATGGTGTTAGTTAGTCATTACGATCAGGAGAAAGCTTGACCAACAGAGTGATAAGGTTCAGAACTATCTTTCATCAAAAACGTCATAGACTGTCATCATATATCATATATCGTGCTGAAAGGTCAGAGGTCAGCAGCTCAGCTGGATATAGTCATGTCTCATTTGACAGTCCGTCTTGAACACAATCACATCTCTACTTCAGTTTCTGTGTGGGGCACAATTCTCAATGTCAAAGGCTTTTGGGTAGTAAAATCCACTCCACCGATACAACATAGAATGTATCATTCTGTCTAGAATATTTATTTGTGTGCAACATCAATCATGTTTAGATTATTTATTTAAACGAAGTTGGAACGACCAAGGAGATGGATAATACAAAAGATATCATACTGTATATAATGCAAGCCTATACACTATGAAATTAGAAGGAAGGGTGACAAAATGTTAGTTCAATTGTTATCTGAAATGATGCATTTGTGCAAGCGCTTTAACATATTACATAAACATATTTCCTAATATATTTATGTTCATTATTGGACAAGATGTACCCAACTAGACTGGTCATTTTAAACATTGCCACTCTGAGACATATTTTATACAAAGTAAAAGCTTCAAATTATTCAGGACCTTCCTTTCTAAAAGCTCCTTTTCTAACATGGCCTAATCCATGAATGCTGGGGAGTGATTACTGGTCAGTTCAAGCTGGAAACAAGACAGTGGCCTGCTTAGAAACCATCTAAAACACACAGACCAGGTTACCATACCAACAGAGCCATCTGAATCATGGCAGATAGCTGGATTTGGCTGTGTGTAGCCAATTCAAATCCCCTCCCTGATCTCGAAAGGCCACCGAAGACAAAAAACCACACACCACCCTCCCTCTGGCCGGCTCTGCCCCTGAACACAAAAACACACACATCGCCTGCCCCTGCACACAGAAAGACCCCAACATCCAGTGCACCAGGAAGAGGCAAGAAGGTCGGACTTGTATCTTTTTCTTTGTGTGTTTGAGAAAGGGATGAGCGTCAGTGAGACAATCAGTGTCATTCACCGATGCCACCCAGAGCCTCGACTCCTCTATCTGTCCAGAAGAAAGAATAAAGGGAGGGGCGGAGAAAAAAGGCAAATCCTTCCAGATTATTATTCATAGGGAGGGATTGTCCTTTTCAGGCCTCCTCGGCCTCCTTATCGGCCTGTTCGTTTCCCAACACGTGATCCTCTCTATCAGCCGCTGACAAGTGCCAATCAAAGGGCCTGGATGGATCCAGGTTTGAAAAAGGACAAGGAGGGAGAGAAAACGATGGTGGATTTCGGAGGAGACAATAGCCGCTGAGCCCACAGTGGCAGTGGTTTAGAGACAATGGTGACACAGCTACATTGTCAGTGTGTGGTCCTCTGGGGGGGAAACCATCCTGCTTGGAACACGACTAATCTCTGCTCCAGTGTCTTTCCCTTCTCTTTCACCGGCCCTAATCTGTCCAGCTAGCGGCTCCCCGAAGCCTTCCGGAACAATCTACCAGGGTCAGTCCAGATTAGTCCTCTTTGTGGCCCCAGCCCATCACAACACTCATTTAGGGCGCTAACGTCTTCAGTAACAGCTGAATGCTAAACTCTGGGGAGAACACGGGAGTGACCGGGCAGAATTGAAACAGTCATGAAAACAATTATGAGGGGGATTATAGTACCTATGAATGAATTATGACAGAGAGGGGGTCCAATACCTTATCATAGAGCTCACTGGGGATAGACCACATATCTTATCTCATCTTATTATTCTGACTGGGTAAAAATAATCACCTAAGTGCCATTTGCCTGTGTTCAGCCTATTAGTTCATGCATGGGTGGACATTGTTTTGAACAAGCCACATTATGAAGCTATAAACCTGTTATGACAAAACCTGATAACTACGACAACAGGGTCTGTATTTCACACTTGTCGTATTTTCTTTATTTGGATACATACTTTTAGGTCGAAGTCCTTATTGGATTCGTAAATGCATACTGGAACACCATGCTGTCACCCTACAACGCTGTCCCCATAGTGTCACATTGAGTCGTAACAGTGTAATTCTATGGACTACTTAGGGAGCTCTATTGAGAGTTTTAACTGCCCCGTTTCTCCCCTTGGAAACCCAATCTCACCTAACCTATGGCCACACAAAGCCATCCCACACACTGGGCAACGCTCAAAGGCTCGCTGACCCCGGGGCTCACCCCTCAGCACCCTCCCCATGACCCTCTCCTGGGCTCTGACCATGTCTTTGGCCTCCCAGAGGTCATTGTCCCAGAGCACACAGACCATCACCAAGGATATCTGGGATGACATCTTCTTTTTATTTGACAAGTTTGTTTTCCCAGAGCTGCAGTAAATAAAACCATATTTTGGGGTTTCGGGATGTTTAGGCCTCCAACACAACAAACAGTTGTCTTATGTCCAATGAGCATTATGAGAGTTCCATTGCTGGCATGTAAAATAGAGGTAATAAAACAGTGGGAAAACTTTACTATCCCATATTAAGACATCTCACTAAAATGTCACTCACCCGTGTGCTTCTCATTCAGGGTGGTAGGGGCCTGGCTGGTTTGGTCACTTCCCTCGGACTCCTCCCCATCTGTAAGTTAACATAGATGTAGTCATGTGACAAAGCTCCTGGTATCTGTCCAGTGAGTGTAACCCACCAGTCATGGTGTCCTGACATCAGACATTAAGCAGTGGAGCCAAGAGGACATGTTACATGTCGCTGTGCCCTTGGTCGTAGTTAATGGCTGAGCACAGTGGCCCTCATGCATGGCCGTTGAATCACAGGTATGACAACTGGGTTTGTAATGGTGCTGTCACTGATGCACAACACAGCAAGCCACGGGCCATTAGGGCCAACATAACACAATGACTGATACAGGAGAGTCACTCAGCGTTAAAACACATGACATGATCACAGGCTGAGGACAGATATGGTGAAACAGAGGTGGAGGAAGAACAAAAAAGGAGAAGGAGAAAGTGAAGAGGAGGAAGAGGGAAAAAGAGAAATTGAATGGGAAGAAAGTTTTAGCTAAAAAAATAGTATATCTCTGCATCACAGAAGAGAGAGAAATAGGAAGGGGTTAAGTCAAACCCAAATGATCCTTCCTTTCCATTTCCTTCCTGTGAAGCCTGTTTTCTCTGTGTTTGTGGTCCTACTGCACTTGCTCTGCCTTTGAACCCATTATTCATCAGTGTACACAAGACGGCCACACAGGAGAGGACCACTCTGCTCGCCAGCCAGCTCTACCGAGGATTATCAGGCTTAAGTGTACCGGATGCAGAGTAACACGGCCAAACACAGCGGTGACAGTAAGAACACAATGGCTTTGAAGAAGACCCGCTCTAGTATGGACAGACCAAACCCTCATGTTAAGGACAGCCTCTTGTAGGTATTGACTGATTAAAGATAGCTGTTAAGAGTTTACAGAGATGTATGCTTAGGTTTAGAGAGAAGGATAGAATGCATAATATGCAGAGCAAACGGAAGTATAACGATTTGGAAGGAAAATCAATAAGGTTGTTAAGAAATCCTATTCATTAGGTGTGGATGTGATAAGAGTGATATGGGTGATGCAGTACCACAGCAGGACTCGCATTGGGAACTGGTGGACCCGGATATGATGTCTGATGGACTGGAATCACTGATCCATGACGATGGTGACCTGGAACCATCCTCGGTGTGGCACTTCTGAAAACACAAGCATAAAACCGCAACACCACGATCACATTATTCAGTCTGACCTGTGTTCTACATAGACCAATCAGGCATGACTATTACTAAAAAATAAATCACATTATAACCACATAATGTGTGCCAATCCCGTACCAGCACACTAGACTCTAAACCTGTGGTGTAGTAGTGGTGCATTATGCAAATAGCCTAACATGAATCATGCCCCGGGTACTCAGAACGCTTCATTGTGGTTAGACATAATCACAGGGGGCTTATAAGGCACATTGAGCCTTTCAGAGAGCAGAGGAAGCTTTCTCATCTATCATAAAGAGGAGATGAATAGTCTATCGCGTGGAGCACCTGCATCCATTCCACTGCACCCCGACACTCGCAGCGCTGCGTTTACCCCCTGACCCCTCACCCCTGACCCTGTCTGATCCATCCCACCAGCGGCGCATCCTCCAAAAGAGTCTCCCCTGTATAGAGCCACATCTGAGTGTGAGTGCGTGGACCCCCCCTAGGATAGAGCAGTGGGCTGAGCAGAACGTGGTGTAAAAGTCTGTCTGCTCTGCTCTTTCAGTGGTACAGTCATCAGCCTCTCCCTCCGGTGGCCTGTGACTGATTAACTACGCACCTGCTGCACTGCACACTTCTCTCAATGTTGTTATATTGTGTTTCAATGATCAACAACAATTTGGCTGCTTGATCCGGGATGGCAGTTACAAATTCATGCCAGTTCAAGTTTATACTGTAAATATAGGTCTTTGTCTCAGTCAGTGTCTTTGTGTTGGTATAGTCAGTGTTTAAACAACAATGTGCAATAGTATTTTACAAAGACGGATGAAAGCCACAGAGGGGTTGTTGTGAGGGGTAGTTTGAGGAGGGGGTACAGACACTCACCATTGTGTGCTCACCCTGTCCCTGGACTTTGCCTGTAGCGACACACCTCTCAGACACACTGCCGTCGCCACAGCTGCCAGCTGTGAGGGGCCGCAGGTCGCCTGACAACAACACACACATCCATCCATGCAGGCAGGCACACACACACACACACACACACACCATCAATCTGAAGACACAAACTGAATAGATAGTGTGTGCGTGTGCCAACGTGCCCGTGGCACTTGCTTGCGTGTGTGTTTTCCTTTGTGTTTGAGTGCGTACACAGATATGAGTAATGCCATGTATTAGTTAAAAGTATGGTTCCTAATCACTCTGCAAATACTGATATAAATAGAGGGGGAAAACCCTGGAGGAACACCTGTCTCCCAGAAGCGTGTCAGGTGCAAACACAGAATGGGAAAACATTGTTCTGGAGACACATCTAGAGGACAGACAGACAGACTAGCCCCCTGCAATGTCTACATCTCCAGTCAAGCCACAGTGATATGTCACTGAGTGAAGAGGAATTAGTTTGATTCAATGACTGTATTCAAGGCCACATTGCCAATTCACAGGAGAAGCATCACACTGAGCAATAGTATTATTAATATCATGGAAAACAAGTTACACATATGTTGTTTGCCTATAGAACTACTAAATGAGATGCTTATTTCCAACTGTTTGCTAATCGACCACTTATATTCCTTTTAGCACTTTATATGATGTTTGGTAAACTTTCTATGGTATTTCTTGCATCACCCAGACTGATATGCACACGCTGCACAGACACAATCACATCCAGATTGTGCCATTGTTAAAATATTTTTTTTAAATTAGCTGTCGGTGTGTCTGAGCTGAGGTTTCCAGGTTAATGATAAACGCGAGCCGGTTTGATCTTTATTCATATGGCATATCATATCCCAATAAAACGTTCTGCCAAAGCCAGAAATGAGCCTCCATATCTTTATGGCCTTTCAGTTACGAGCCTGCAGCAGCATGCCTGGGAGCAGATGAGAGGCGGTTCACACTGTAAAGACATTACTCTCAAGGCCGACCAACGACCGGCAGGCACACACCCATAACGCAGCTTGGTATTCCCCTGTCCAGCCTATTCTACACAAGTCTGGATTTTCCCTGTTATGAAATCAACGGTTTTGCTGTTTCTATCAAAGGTCATAGTTTGGCTCATTGTAACTGTCAAAAGAAACTGTCAAAGGTGTGAGTTTACATCAAGTAATCTTACTGAGACAATGTCTCAAACACAGTGTATATAAAGACGTGCCAGTTCAATCACATTCACTGACTCACAAACAAATCACAGACTGGGTTGGGTGTTGAGTTGTAAATCAGGGATACCTGTAGTAGAGAGTCCTGGACTAAGAGGTCTTCTGGCTCTGAGCTCCGCTGTGTGGCCCGTTGTTCTGTCCTCTGTTGGGGAGTACTCGTCCTGACCAGAGAGCCAGTGGGGCTCCACAGGGTCCGGCCGGTCCAGGAGCAGGAGCTGCACACGGGACAGGGAGCCCAGGTCCCCCGAGTCACAGCCCACTGTCAGAGCAGCCAGGCCTGGGGACATCTCTGCAGCGGTGGCATACAGTATACAGGACAACTAAAGCATAATGTGAAACAGCATACCCAACAAATCAGATGCATTTAAAAGGGACTGAGGGAGTCCATTGGATCAGTCAGTCCATCTACTTACAGTTTAAGTCAGTCCATCTACTTACAGTTTGAGTGCATACATTGTCATACCTTTTTTCATACTGATCCCCGTGGGAATCGAACCCACAACCATGGAGTTGCAAGGGCCATGCTCTCCCAAATGAGCTACACAGGACTCAACAAATAATACTGTTGTGTCAAAAGACAGGTATTCATATTCAAGGCATTCACATTTTCAACTTATTTCAAAGATAAAACACCAGCAGGGGGCGAAAAAGTGTATGCATTGTGGAACCCATTATTAGCTTGTGTTTCCCTGGGGAACATATATACTGGTGCACCTTTGTGATAGCAGGTGGTGAAATGTTTGGTGAAAAAGCATTTCACTGGAATTCCTACATGGAAGAGGAGACTCTCATTCATACACATTCAGCTCATTTAGGATTCTGGAGATGTCACGGTTTCGGCCGAGGCTGCTCCTCCTCCTTGTTCGGGCAGGTTTCGGCGGTCGTCGTCCCCGGAGTACAGCTGCCACCGATCTATGTTTCATGTTCGATTGGTTTTGTCTTGATGTTGTACACCTGTGTCTAGTTAGTCCTCATTAGTGTCCTATTTAGTTCTCGTTGTGTGTGTCAGGTGTTGTGTGTGATTGCTCTTCTGTTTGGTGTTCTGAGCTACGTGGTTCCCTCCGTTGTTTTGGAGAGGTTTTCGCACATGTTAGTGCGCCTATTGTTTGACGCCTGTGTGCGCCTTTATTCTCGCCCCCGGGCTTGTTTGCTCGTGTACTACGTGAATATTTCACTAAAGTCTTTTGGACTTAGTTTCTGCGTCCTGTGCTTGATTCCTGCACCACACCCACCTTCAGCACCCCTGACAGAATCACACACCATTTATGAATGGAATCAGCCGGAGCAACAGTCACGCCTGAGTCGCTGGAGGAGCATGTTCGCGGCCAGGATGACCAGATCAGACAACTGGGGACCGCTCTACAGGACGTCATCAACACCCTGCACCGATGGGAGTCCAGAGGGGTACCCACACCTCCACCTACCTTGCCACCCCCATCGGCCGGTCCACCAGTCCCAGGTCCGGAACCCAGTGGGATTCGGCTCTCGCTCCCGAGGGCGTATGACGGCACAGCTGCCGGGTGTCAGGGGTTCCTCCTGCAGGTGGAGCTCTACCTGGCCACTGTACACCCGGTGCCCTCGGGGCACGAGAGCGTTTCCGCCCTCATCTCCTGTCTCATGGGCAAGGCGTTGGAATGGGCCAACGCCGAGTGGAGGAGGATGGACGCCACCACCATCTCCTACGCCGAGTTCTCCCGTCGCTTCAAGGCCGTGTTCGACCATCCACCGGAGGGCAAAGCGGCGGGGGAGCGTCTATTCCACCTGAGACAGGGGAGGAGGAGTGCACAGGCGTTCGCACTGGAGTTCCGGACTCTAGCGGCAGACGCAGGGTGGAATGAACGGGCCCTCATCGACCATTTTCGATGTAGCCTACGGGAGGACGTTCAACGTGAGTTGGCCTGCAGGGACACCAATTTCACCTTCGACCAGTTGGTCGACATGTCCATCCGTCTGGACACCCTGCTGGCCACCCGTGGACGTCCCGAGTGGGGTCCGTCCATTCCACCCTCCGGCACCACCGAGCCGAGCCCTATGGAGCTCGGGGGTGCTGGCGCTAGAGAAAGGAGGAGGAGGAGCCCGAGGGGGCCTGTCCCCTGCACCAATTGCGGTCGTGGAGGGCACACTGCGGCCAGGTGCTGGGGAGGGTTCCCCGAGGGAGGAGACAACAGGCCACGCACTGGGGAGCCTTCCCAGGTGAGTAGACGCCCCACTTACCCAGAGCTCTCTGTTGCGCACTTTTGTATACCTGTTTGTTTTCCACAGGTTGCACCTCATTCCCAGCATAAGGCGCTAGTAGATTCAGGCGCAGCTGGGAATTTTGTTGATCGGAAGTTTTGTTTCGATTTAGGGATCCCTCTCCTGCCTGTTGACAAGCCTTTTCCCGTTCATGCTTTAGATAGCCGCCCGTTGGGGTCGGGGTTGATTAGGGAACTCACAGCGCCACTTAGGATGTGTGCGCAGGGGGGTCATGAGGAGACTATACAGCTGTATCTGATCGACTCTCCTGCGTACCCGGTGGTGCTGGGAATTCCCTGGTTAAGTACCCATAACCCTGCTATTTCGTGGCAACAGAGGGCTCTCAATGGGTGGTCTGCTCAGTGTGAGGGGCGATGTCTGGGTGTTTCCGTAGGGGCGACTTCGGTGGAAAGTCCAAACCAAGTGCCCGCACTGCACATTCCGCCTGAATATGGGGATTTGGCTCTCGTGTTTAGTAAAGCTAGGGCGACGCAGTTGCCTCCTCATAGACAGGGGGATTGTGCGATTGATCTCCAGGCAGGAGCAGCGCTCCCACGGAGCCACGTGTATCCTTTGTCTCAAGAGGAGAGAAAAGCTATGGAAACTTACATAGCCGAATCTTTGAGACAGGGATACATACGGCCCTCCACTTCTCCCGCCTCCTCAAGCTTCTTTTTTGTGAAGAAAAAAGATGGAGGGTTGCGCCCGTGCATCAATTACCGTGGTCTCAATCAGATTACTGTGAAATACAGTTATCCACTCCCTCTGATTGCGACCATGACGGAGTCATTGCACGGAGCGCGGTTTTTCACAAAACTGGATCTCAGGAGCGCGTATAACTTGGTGCGCATTAGGGAGGGCGACGAATGGAAAACAGCGTTTAGTACCACGTCAGGTCATTTCGAGTATCTCGTCATGCCATACGGGTTGATGAATGCTCCATCAGTCTTCCAATCCTTCGTGGATGAGATTTTCCGGGATATGCAGGGGCAAGGGGTGGTCGTGTACATTGATGACATTCTAGTGTACTCGTCTACCCGAGCCGAGCATATAGCCCTGGTGCGTCGTGTATCGGTTGTCCGCATCAGGGGTGAGAATGGAGGTGGATCGTATGTCAGCCGTGCGTAATTGGCAAACCCCAACCACTGTCAAAGAGGTGCAGCAGTTCTTGGGCTTTGCGAATTACTACCGGAGGTTTATCCGTGGTTTTGGACAGGTGGCAGCTCCCATCACGTCCCTTCTGAAAGGGGGTCCGGTGCGCCTGCAGTGGTCAGCTGATGCGGACAGGGCCTTTAGGAGACTGAAGGACCTGTTTACGTCGGCTCCGGTGCTGGCGCATCCGGACCCCGCATTACCCTTTCAGGTCGAGGTGGACGCGTCTGAGGCCGGTATAGGGGCCGTACTCTCTCAACGGTCCGGCACGCCACCTAAAAAAAGGGTTTATGTCTCCTCCTGCTCGGTGTGCGCCCAGTGTAAGTGCCCAGACACCTGCCCAGGGGTAAGTTACAACCCCTGCCCGTTCCACAACGACCATGGTCCCACCTCTCAGTGGATTTTGTGACAGACCTTCCCCTCTCTCAGGGGAATACCACCATCCTGGTCGTTGTCTTCTCCCTATGTCGGGTCTTCCTACTGCCCTACAAACCGCAGAGGCACTATTTACCCACGTCTTCCGGCATTACGGGGTACCCGAGGATATAGTGTCTGATCGAGGCCCCCAGTTTACCTCCCGAGTATGGAGAGCGTTCATGGAGCGTTTGGGGGTCTCGGTGAGCCTTACCTCAAGGTACCACCCGGAGAGTAATGGGCAGGTAGAACGAGTCAACCAGGATGTGGGTAGGTTTCTGAGGTCGTATTGCCAGGACCGGCCTGAGGAGTGGGCTCGGTACATTCCCTGGGCCGAGATGGCCCAGAATTCTCTCCGCCAATCCTCTACCAACCTAACCCCCTTCCAATGTGTGTTAGGTTACCAGCCGGTTCTGGCACCTTGGCAGCAGAGCCAGATCGAGGCCCCTGCGGTGGATGATTGGATGAGGCGCTCGGAGGAGACGTGGAACGCTGCACACGTCCACCTGCAGCGGGCCATCTGTCGACACAAGGCGAGCGCCGATCTCCACCGCAGTGAGGGGCCGGTGTACGCACCCGGAGATCGAGTCTGGCTCTCTACCAGAAACCTACCCCTCCGCCTGCCCTGCCGGAAGCTGGGTCGGCGGTTTGTGGGGCCTTTTAAAGTCCTGAGAAGATTGAACGAGGTGTGTTATAGGTTACATCTGCCTGTTGAATATAAGAATATTAACCCCTCGTTCCATGTGTCTCTTCTCAGGCCGGTGGTAGCTGGTCCACTCCAGGAAGGTGAGATAGGAGAGACTCCTCCGCCCCCACTTTCATCGAGGGGGCTCTGGCGTACACCGTTCGGTCCATCTTGGACTCAAGACGCCGGATGGGGGGTCTCCAGTATCTCGTGGAGTGGGAGGGGTACGGCCCGGAGGAGCGGTGCTGGGTGCCGCGGAGGGACATCCTAGACCCGTCTCTCCTGTCGGAGTTCCACCGGGACCATCCCGCGCGCCCTGCTCCGCGCCCTCCTGGTCGTCCCCGAGGCCGGGGTCGGCGCACGGCTGGAGCCGCGCGTCAAGGGGGGGGTACTGTCACGGTTTCGGCCGAGGCTGCTCCTCCTCCTTGTTCGGGCAGGTTTCGGCGGTCGTCGTCCCCGGAGTACTAGCTGCCACCGATCTATGTTTCATGTTCGTTTGGTTTTGTCTTGATGTTGTACACCTGTGTCTAGTTAGTCCTCATTAGTGTCCTATTTAGTTCTCGTTGTGTGTGTCAGGTGTTGTGTGTGATTGCTCTTCTGTTTGGTGTTCTGAGCTACGTGGTTCCCTCCGTTGTTTTGGAGAGGTTTTCGCACATGTTAGTGCGCCTATTGTTTGAAGCCTGTGTGCGCCTTTATTCTCGCCTCCGGGCTTGTTTGCTCGTGTACTACGTGAATATTTCACTAAAGTCTTTTGGACTTAGTTTCTGCGTCCTGCGCTTGATTCCTGCACCACACCCACCTTCAGCACCCCTGACAGGAGACTCAACCGGTAGGCACATGGACATTGTTGTGTAAAATTGTTGCCAGTTAGGTGTTTATTTTGTGTTGAGAATTGAGACCAATTGTCTAATTTAGTATATAGTATAATTTAGATAATGACTACATTGAGATTATATATTTAATTTGAAATGACCTTACTTGAAGTAATCTATATTTCTTTT